CCCCACGCCCACTTCCCACTTCCCCCCCTCCCCCTCCCAGGCACCCACTTTAATGCATTAGGCTTATAGCTAGCTGCAAAGATGTATTTTTATAATTTGCAATTTTGTGTATACGTGTTTCCAATTTACATAAATGAGATTGTGTTCTAAATCTCCTTCGATTTTCTTTTTGAAAAAAGTGAGCAGTACATTTCTGAGATGATGTATAGCAGCGCACATCAAGTCCTCGGCTTCCGCTGGCGCATCGCATCCCACGGTGTGCCCTCAGCACTCGCACTTGTACCCGAGTGATGGACTCTTCAGTTGCCTCAGCTCCCCATCAGCACAAGGCTCCCACATGTCCTCTCTGTGGGGGGTTTTCTGGGATATATCAGGGCACCCCAGCTGGTGCCCCCACCGTATCCCCTCAGCTCATCTTTTTCACTTGCATGTAGCTATGGCAGGTGGTTCCCATTGACAGTTTCCCGCCTCAGGTGCTGGCATTGTTCTTTCTCCGGCCTGCATGCAGAACAGACTAGAAGTGCCAGGATTAACCCCTCAAGGGCAAGTCACACCCAGTGAGGGTCAGGAGGCAGTGAACAAATTCTCTGCTTCCCTTTTCCACACAGAGGGTCCATTCTGAGGTGTGTTCTGTGATTCCTGAAGTCCCCCCAGAGTCCCTGTCTGAATGGGCTCTATCTAGTTGCTCACAGCAGTAACCTTTGCTTTCAGGGACTAGGGTTGTTACCAGAAAGGGGACCTGGCCCTGAGGGGGTCTGCCTAGGGCCAGCCGGTAGTGTGTGGGTTCTTGACTCCATGCAGGAAAAATTTCACAACGAGTCCAGGTGAATTTTAGAGGCTGTTTATTAAAGCTGGGGACATGAAACAAGAAAGGGCCTAGGATAACAGGAGAGGGACTAGGTGGGAAATGAGCTTAGGCTGGTCTGCTTTGGCTCACTAGGAAGTCAGGGAAAAGGGGGCCTTGGGGACAGGTTCAGGGGGATGCATGGGATGAATTCCCTTTGCCCATTGCTTTCCTGGTTGCAAGTTTAGTGGGGTCCCTTAGAGTTTAGGAGATGCACCCCTGTGGGGGAAGAAGGGGAGGAAGGGAAGTGTTCCTGGGAGGAGCACACTGAAACCTTTGTTTTGAGGGGTTTTAATGGCTGGGTGTTTAGGGGATGTCTTAGGGGAAGATCTTAATAGAAGATTCATCAGCTTTATGCTGATGTCCCAAAATGAGATTTATTCTCTTAACTTCATCTGGCCTTGGATATGGCTGGCAAATGGCACTAATTGGATTTCTGCTACCTATCTCCCTGAGTAGGGTGATTTAAGCTATTTACCCTCTGGTTGGGGAGAAGTGCAAACCATTTACTCTTAAGTGTCCTTGGTTTAGGCAGATGGGATTTACTAGATGGCTGCAAACTTCTTGTTTACTATGTATCGGTTTCCATGTTCTACTTGTCCTGGCTCACTAGCCTGTCTCAGGGTGAGAAAGCTGAGGTGCCTAGGGTGAAAATTTTAAGGAGGCCTTCACTCTCAGCTTTAGGCAAATGCCTTAGGTGCCCCACCTGCCTCCCTCTAGTCCAAACTCTGCACCATTTATTGGCTTTTTTCCCTTCCAATCCCAATTTTCCCACTCTCTTCTGCTTCCTGGGGACACCTCCCAAATAATCCACCTGTACCCTTGGCTTAGGGCATATTTTTGGGAAACCCCAAACTAAGACAAATATTCAGATTCAGGAGTAGGATTTCTGGGCCACAGGGCATACCTGTACTTATATTGTCTAGTCATTGCTGTTTAATTAAACTTTCCACAATAACAAAGTGTTCTGTATCAACACTGTCCAATATAGTAGCCACTAACCACATGTGTTGTTGAGTGCTTAAAATTTGGCTAGTGCAATAGAGGAACTGAATTTTCCATTTCTTTCATTTTTCTTTAATTTAAGTTGAACTGCTATACTCTGTGACAGTGAGCCTGACGCAAAATAGATGAGACTGTTGAGATTGTGGGAAAAGGTGGGTGAGTTTTGCATGTGAAAGAGATGTAAATACTCTGTAGCCAGAGGATCCACTGCAGTATTTTAAAAATAAGTCTTCGAAGCCTTTGAGACTTTTCCCACTGAGAAGTGGGTCTGTCCATTTCCTTTGAACCTGGGCTGGCTTTAGGGGCTCATGTGCAGGCGCCGCAGGGCCTCTGATACTAAGTGGGAAAAGGTCGAGGCAGCTTCTGCTTGGTTCTCTTGAGACTCTCACTCTGGGGAAGGCCAGCTGCCATGGTTTCCCTGGAATCACCGCGCTCCCACCCTCACTCCACCATTTGACATACAGCCCCGCTCTCAGACCCCCAAATTGTGGTTGGGGCTCTAGAACCTCTAATCTTCACCCCACCAATGATCCTACATAAGCATTTTTACTCTGCTGCTCCCACACCTCTGGAAACTGTTACCGATGAGTTTGGGTTCTTGTCTCCTGATATGAAAGAATTTAGACCAGGGACACTGATAAAAGCAAAAACAGATTTATTGAGGCTCTGCAGAGAGCGAGAGCACTGAGATCGGTTTCCAGGTTCTGTGCCCCAAATGTGGGGCTTGGGGGTTTTTATGGCTTGAGAACATAGAAGTTGCTGGGGTTAATCAATCAAGGAGTAAGTTAGATGGCTTTTCCTTTTTTGGAACATTGATGTCCGGGTATGTCAGTGAAGAGAACCATTCTGGGATTGTGCAGCACTTATTATGGGATGCAGGAAGGAAGGGACTTTTCCAACCAGAGATTGAGTTGGTCCCTGTGATTGATGGTTTGTTTTTAGATCTGAAAAACAAACTTAAAAAAAAATCAGGGTAGTTCCTGGACCATTGTTTCATAACTACCTATTGATAACTGCCATGGTTCTGGCAGGGCTTGACTCAGTGGAGCAATTTGTCCTGGCAGGGCTTGACTCAGTAGAGCAATTTTGGGGAACATTTTATTCTACCTGTTTCAATTGTACAAGAGTGGCATCAGTCATAGAGAATGCATTTTTCTGCAATTTGCTTTTCTTGTTTTGCTGTGCCCTGGAAACAGCTGAACTGGTCCTGGGTGGTCCTGCTAGGTCTTGGGGAAGGAATACAGGGCAGATGGGGATGGGAGGAGCTGAGTCAGGGACCTTGACTGGAGTCTTGGACCCCCTTCCATTGCCCAATGGCCCCACTGTACATTGAATTCTTTGGTGAGTCTCTCAGGACTCCCACTGCAGGGTAGGGAGGGGGCACTAGAGCCAACACAGGGGTGCATTCTCAAGGGCAGAGGGTGGGAGACAGGTGGAAGGGGGCACTGAGGTTCAGCTGGAGGTAGAGGAGGGTGGATGGAAGGACAGACACTGATCAGGGGAGGGAGGTCGGCCTCACCCAGCTTTGCCTCTAACTTCTGGCCGTGGGAAGGATTGGCACTTCCTCTGCGGGGGGTGTTTCTCTTGGAGTCCGTGTCTCCCCCACTGGGTGACTGTGGGTTTGGCTTTTGATTTCTTGGGTCTCAGTCTCTGGCTCTTTGTCACTGTCTGTTTTCAGCCTCGACGGAACACTAGAGACACCTGGGGAGCTGATAATAATAACAGAAATAACAAATCTTTCTTTGGTGCTTTGGATGAAAAAAGAACTTCTATGGAAAGGAACCTCACAGGGTGATTTGATCATAAATGACTAACTGGGCAAGTCAAGGTAGGTAGTCACGCCTCAGGCATATAACTTTTATAGTAAAAGATTTATCTTTGCCTTAGGAAAGCCCTGTCCATTGTTTCTGTGCATCTAGGTTACCACATCTTTGAAATTCCTCGTTTTTAGACCCCTGGGAAGTGTAACACCCTCAAGAGAGCACATAACCTTGTTGACTACCCTGTAATCCAATCCCCACCTTGCTTTCTCCCACCCTCATGAAATCTTCCTTACATCTCCTCCTTAATTTCCAATGCATGAAAGAAACTGCAAAACTTGTTCTCTGGAGTATTTTAGATCTTGCTCCCTGGCATATGCCCCCAGTTTGGTCCAAATAAACTCTTCCAGAAATTCTCTACGGGTTTGGACTTCTCTTATGTCAACAGTGCATATCCTATTCCAGGCACTGCTATATTCATGTGAACTCATTTAATCCTTACTATGACCTTATATATTACCCTCATTCTATAGATGAGGTAACTGAGACCTGGAGAAGCTGCTTCCAAAGCTCACAGTTAATAATCAGCAGAATTGAGATCGAACCCCATGTTCCTTAAACTTTAACATGTGTACAGATCACCTGGGGATTGGTTAAAATGCAGATTTCGGATTCAGTGGGTTGGAGGCAGGGCCTGAGATTCTACATTTCCAATACTCTCCCAACGTGATGCCAAAGGTCTGCGGCTCAAGCTGAGAAACAAGAGTTTGAACTATTACATGTTACTGCGTCTCGGTCCAGAGCAGCAGTTCTCAGTGTGCGCCTTGGAACAGCTGCATCTGCTGCACCCGGGAACTTGTTAGAAATGCAAGTTCTCTGAGCTATCGAGTCAGAAATCCTGGTTGTGGGGTCCAGCCACCTTTGTGTTAGCAAGAGCTCCAGCTGATTGGGATACACCTCAACATTTGAGAACCACTGATAGAGTGGAATGAGACCAATCACATCTCTGGGACTGCAGCCCAGACTTTGTTATCTTTAGAGTTCCCCTGGTGATTGTAAAGCAAGGAAGGCCGTGAACCACTGGGTTGGCCAGAGGGACAATCTCAGTTTATGTAAGTAAAGCAAATATACCACCTGAATTTGGAATTTGCCACAAGGTTTGGGCAGGATTGGGGAAGTCCAGGTGGGCGGCGGCCAGGAGATGACAGAGAGACTGAATCTGAAAGAGAAACAGAAAGGAGGCTAGAGCATGGAGGCTGGATTTTTGGAAAGAGATCCATTGACTAGCAAATCCTTAGAACCCACAGAGTGATGGGAGGGGGGGAAGTTCCCCTGAGTCACCCCTACTTTTTGTGATGTTCAAAAACCTCACCTAGATGTTTTTGAAGAAACTGGGGCATGGTGGAAGCCTTTCTTGGAATCTTAGGGGACACAGGCACATGTAGGGGTTTGGGGGTGCCAGAACAAAGAGGATGGGCTTGGATGAGTTGTCTCAAACACCCTATAAGAAATACCGATGACAGTGGTGCATAAAGTGCAAGTGCCTTATACCCTTCCTGCCTGTATCCATCAGGGCTCTTAGTTGCCAAGAACATAGATTATCAGAGAGGTAGATTATAACGCTAATAACCTGGGAAAATACCCAAACACACCACAAGAGCCTCTCTGGGGAGCAAAACCCCTGCATTGGCTGCTCAGAACCTCTGATGGTCAGGGCCAGACTCCAGGGTGCTCCTTCACAATCTCCCCCAAAAATCAGAGGCTTCTATCACAGAGGCCACTAGCTGACTGTTTTCCATTTTCGTGGACATTTCCTCTTGTGGTTCACTTTTTTTTTTTTAACAACGAAGCCCAACATTTATCGAGCGTGTATTATCTCCCAGCTACGGTTATCTGCTTCATTTAATTCTCACAGTCACTCCATGAAGTAGGTATTATTTTTATCCCAATTTATAGATGAGAAAGCTGAGGATCAGCAAAGCGAAGCAACCTCCTCAAGGTCTAACGGTTTGTAAGCAGGAAAGCCAGGCCTCATACTCAAGCCTGTCTTGTGTATTTGGTACTTCATAATCCTACCTGACATGGTATTATATATTTTTTGGTAATGGCTTTATCGAATACAATTCACATACCATATAACTCCCCCATTTAAAGTGTACAATTCAATGGATTTTAATATAGTCACAGAGTTGTGAAGCCACCGCCACAATCAATTTTAGAATATTTTCTTCTCCCCAAAAAGGAATCCTATATGTTTTAGCAGTCACCCCTCATTTCTTCCTACCCCCTTCCTGAACCCAGCTCAAGGCAGCCACGAATTCATTTCTGTCTCTATGGATTTGTCCATTCTGGATATTTCATGCAAATGGAATCCTACAGTATGTGGCCTTTTACGTCTGGCTTCTTTCTCTTGGTATAATGTTTTAAGGTTCATCCATGTTGTAGCGCGTGCCGGTGCTTTGTTCCTTTCTACGGCTGATAAATTCCATCGTGTGGATGTAACACATATTGTTTATCCACTTATCAGCCGGCCGACTTTGAAGTCGTTTCCATTCATTGGCTATTATGAGGAATGCTGTGATGAATGTTTGTGTGCCAGTGTTTATGTGGATATATGTTTTTATTTCTCTTGGGCATTGTGGCCCACTTTTGAAAAAGCCCACAATGTGTTTATTGGGGTGGTTCTCCACCCATCTCCATTCAGGTGCTCTGAGTGCTGCTTCCTTCAGAAGGAACCTCCTCTGTCCCCCTTGCTTTTCCTCCTGAGGCTGACAGCACAGTGGAGCAGCCAGCACACAGAACCACTGTCCGGCTAAAGACGGTGGTGATTTTATAGCATCCTGGGCATTTCACATCCGTGAAGTTGGAGCTGGGGCTCTGCACCGGGCGCTCCTCTTTGTGTTTTCTCTTCTCTTCTGGAGATGGATGAAGGAGATCCTTAGTGAGCAGAGTGTGTGTGGGGAGGTCACCACTGGAAAAGTGGCTCACTTAAAAAAAATTATTGATTTTAGGGAAAGGAAGAGAGAGGGATAGAGAGAGAAAAACATCCATGAGAGAAACATTGATCAGCTGTCTCCTGCACGCCCCCTACTGGGGACTGAGGCTGAAACCCCAGCATGTGCCCTGACCGGGAATCCAACCCGTGACCTCTTGGTTCATTGGTTGACCCTCAACCACTGAGCCACACTGGCCAGGCATGGCTCACTTTTGACCCAAGATTATGTGGATGCATCTGATAGGTAGAGTCTAGAAGGAATCTTCTGAGACCAGAGAATGTGAGGTCCTTGAGGGCAGGGACTGTCTGATTCCTTGGACATTCTGACTTCCTCCCCCCACCCCAGCTTCCCTGGGACTGATGGGACATGGGGCTTCAATAAATAGTTAAGAAATTTAATTGTCTCTTTTCTTTATGTTTCCTCAGGTCACTTCCTATATCTCTGTCTTCCTGTTTCCGTTGATTTACTGATTCATGACAAACGACCGCAAAACTTGGTAAATAAAAACAATGATGATTTCTTATTTCTCAATATTCTGAATGTTGACTGAGTGGTTCTTCTCCTGGTCTCTCCTGTGCTCACTCAGGAGGCTGCAATCAGCTGGTGAGCTGACTGGGTACTTGGGAAGCTGGGATGCTTCTATAGGTGGGTGTGTCTTTCCTGGTGGCTTTTTATCATTCCGTGGTCTTGGCTGGGCTTCCTTTTATGGTGGTGAGAGCATTTGCAAGAGCCCAGGCCCTACTACACAAGCACTGATCGAATTTCTGCATTAATACTCCATTGACCAAAGCCAGTCACATGGGCAAGATACCATCAGTGTAGGAGGAGACCACACTGGGGCTTCTGGGAGGAATGGATCATCAGGGCCACCCAGGTAAGTCCATCACACTGCCCCAGGGCTCCCTCTTGTTTGCAAGGCCGTGTAGTTTGCTGTATGAGAATGGGCTGAGGTGCCAGATGGCCTGGGTCATAGACTGGCTCCACCATTTGTTAATTGTGTGACTTTGGCCAAATGACTCAACTTCTCTGTACCTCAGTGTCTTCACCTGTAAAATGGGTTGATATTCATCTATTTCATAAGGTTGTTCTGAAGATTATGCATGCAAAATTCTTAAGTTAATGCCAGGCATGGAGATAAACAATGGCCATCATTATCGCTTTCCCCCATCACCTCTGGCTAATTTTTTGGTGTTCCTAATTGCTCTCCTGTCTGTTGTGAATGATATTGGACTGTTAGAACAGAGACCAGCTACTAGAAACAGGTTCATTTCTCTCCCATGTAAAACAAATCCAGAGGTAGGGCTAGTATTTCAGCCCTGCAGATTACCAGGGATCCAGGCTCCGTTCGGTCTTCTGCTCTGCCAATCTCAGCGCACAAGCTCTATTCTCAAGATGATTTCTTGGTTCACTGTGGCCGTTGGAGCCCAAGTCATATTCAAAGCAGAAATTACATGGAAGGAGTTAAGGGCATAAAGGCACCTGTCTGCAGGCTATTTCCTATAAGAAACTTTCCTGGAAGCCCCACCCAAATACTTGAGCTTCTTTTGTCTTAGCTACTCTAGCTGCAAGGAAGGCTGGTAAATATCCTTTAGCGAGCGCGTTGCCACCTGCAGTTAAATCAAAGTAGTGTTATTAAAGAAGTGGAGAATGAATATAGTTTAGGTCACTAGTAATCTTTGCCACACACCTATAGCCAAATGGGGAGGGTGTCGGTGTGGAGAAAAACAGAAATGTCAGGCTGACTTTTTTGCTAGAGTGTCATTTCTATGAGAACGAGGGTTTTTGTGTTTTGTTCACCCCTGTTTACTTACCCGGTGCCTACCATACAATAGGCACTCAGTGAGTGTTGAATGAATTGTTGAATGTACCCCTGGCTAATACTCTAAGGAACAGAAAAAAATGTAACTTTTGGAACATGGTAGAAGTTTTAAAAAGAAATACTTACTGATTTACTCCCAATTTTTTTATTTCAAAAATTTTCACTCTTACAGAAAAGTTAGTACAATGAACACTCACATTTCCTTCACCTAGATGCGCCAGTGTTAATATTTCACCTCCCTTTCTCTCTCTCTCCCGCTTGAAAGTAAGTTGCGGGCATCACAATACCGCAGACTAAATACTTCCTATGAACCTCAAAACAAGGGCCTTATCCTACATAAATCACAATACTCCAAAACTTGAACATTATAGTAACTGTAGCAACACTATATTATGTAACATGTACTCCACATTCAAATTTATCCAGTTATACCAACAATAGCTTTGTCCTTTAAAAATATGTACCTTTTCAAATTCAGAATCCAATACAATCAAGATGGTGCATTGCAGTTAGATGTCAATGTCATAACTTTTTCTGTCCTTTGGTCTGGAGCAGTTCCACGCCTTTTTGTTTTGTTTGATTCTTTTTTTAATAATTTAAATTCAGTTTAAACACTTTTGTCAAGAATAATTCATAGTCCAGCCAGGGTGGCTCAGCGGTTGAGCACTGAGCTAGGATCCCGGAGACTGAGGTTGGATTCCTGGTCAGGGCACAGGCCCGGGTTGCGGGCTCGATCCCCAGCAGGGGGCGTGCAAGAGGCAGCCGATTCATGACTCTCATCATTGATGTTTCTCTCTCCCTCTCCCTTCCTCTCTGAAATCAATAAAGATGTATTTTTTAAAAGAGAGAGTAATTCATAGATGATACTGTGTCCTCAGTGCACCGCATTCATGAGAACGTGATGTGAGTTTATCTTTTTCGAGACTGGGTTTCCAAAGAGACATAGTAAACACAGGATGCCTGAGGCTGCAGCTGGCATAACAAGATTTCTCCATTGTAAAGGTTTCCTTCCTTCCTTCTAGGTCACCTGTGGGGTGATACTGGAGACTATGTGACTATCCTGTTTCTTTTTTTAAAAAATATGTTTTCTCAATCAATCAAAGTGTAGCACATACAATTGTGTATTGTACATAATACTTGATAGTAAATGACTCCCTTTCTGTTTTGGCATTTACTGTACTTTTTATCATTATTTTAGATGCACTCCTTCAACCTACATAAAAGAGTTTCCTGTAGAACAGTCTGCGTGTTACCCCGGCAGCAGCCTCGCACATCCCGTGTTTACCATGTGTCTTGATTGCACCATTTTCTCTTGTGCTTGATTTAATATCGTGTTGTTTTATACATTAGTGTGGCCTAAATGTGCAGACTTCCTAAAGTCCACAGTAGAGGACAGTAGTGTCCCGGCCTTCACATTCCCTCGCGCCTCACTCACTGACTCACCCAGACCAACTTCAGTCCCGCAGGTTCCCTTCCTGGCACGTGCCCTGTGCAGGTGAACCATTTGTTATCTTTTATACCATATTTTTACTGTGCCTTTGCTGTGTTTAGATGCACAAATACTTACCATTGTGTGACCCCTGCCTCCAGGACTCAGCACAGTGACCTGCTGTGCGGGCTTGAGCCCGGGGGCAGTGGGCTCTACCATAGAGCCGAGGCGCGTGCGGGCCATCTCTCCGTGGGAAACGCGCTCTGTGATGTCCCCACAGGGCAGAATCGCCTAATGGGGCATTTCTCAGAACAAAACCCCGTGGTTAAGTGGCGCGGGACTGCAACTGGGATCTTCGACATCTATGTTCCCCAAAGGCCTCAGAAATCACACCTACTCAAGTCGGGTCAGAAATTCACAGACCCTCAGAGGAGGCATTTGGGGAACTAAGGCTGGTCCAGGGCGCGTGGGTCAGCACCACAGTGGGCGCACGAATCGGGTCTCCTCCAGACCAACCCTGAAGATCCAACCCACACAAGCACACACACCCCACAGCACAAACAGCATCTTGTCCTCATTGTTTATTTGCACAATTTGTACAAAAAGTAGAAAAATAAATATTTTATCTTCTGTGAGTTTGATAATTCACACACATAAATAAATAAATAGTGGTTGGGTGGCAATAAATTAAGAAGAGTCGGGGATGCATAAATAAAATCTAAGTCGCTGGGACAGGTGCAGGCGGGTCTCGGGTCAGACACACAGGTCTCCATCAGCAACACATTTCAGGTCACGGGTGAGGAGGCGGAACAGGTTGAATGTGACAGAGGCTTCAAGGCAGCCACGGGACTCCTGTGAGAGGAAGGGACAGGTACAGGTTGGTGTCTGTCCATCATCGGGGCCCCCGGTGGTCCCCAGACACTGGTCACTCCCTGGGCACTCACCTTGTCCCGAGCCTCCTGGAGGCGGTGGAGCCAGTGGCGGAGGTGGCCCCGGGGCCTGGCGCCTGCTCTGGGCTGAGTTGGGAGCTGTGGGCAGAGGAAGGCGTGTGAGGAGGGCCAGGGGCAGAGGGGGACATATGGGTGGTGGGAGCCCACAGACATGGCCTGGGAGGGAGCCCAGGGCACTCACACAGGCCTGCAGATGGGAGTGGATGTGGCGCAGCATGTGAAGGGGTTGGTCCAGGATGTCCCCCAGGGTCGAGTTAGCCACAGTCGCCAGGACCTCCAGTGTGAGGTCCAGCTCAGCCTCCAAGGCCACAGGGCGCTCCCACACCTGAGGAGGGGACACAGGGACAGGTGAGAGCTGCACGTGAGAGGACAGGTGAGGAGGGTCAGGTGAGGAGGACCCAGGAGGGAGCAGGTGAAGGGCAAGGTCAGGAGAGAGGGGACAGGGAAGGCCAATGTGGGCAGGCCAGGGGAGGAGGCCAGGGGCCTGCTGGGGGGACAGAGAGACAGGGCCAGTGAGAAGAGGCGGCGAAGGGGCCACCTCAGAGCCAGAGGAGCGGGCCCAGGTGAGGGCAGGGCTGGGCCTGACTCTCCCAACTCACCTGCAGCTGCCTCAGGTCCCGGGTCCTGGGGAAGGGGCGGGCGCTGCAGCTCCAGCTCTTCAGCAGGAGCGCCTCCTCCTGGACGGCAAGGGCACAGGTCAGCCACAGCCTGGGCTGCAGCTTGACCTCTGCAGTGGGGTTGGAGGGGGGCTAACACAGGAGCAGGGCCTTAACCCCCAAAGGATGGCAGAGGCTTCTCCCATGCAGAAGAACCCGAGTCAGCGCCCTGCAGCCAGAGCGGGACAGAGCCCTGTGGGAAGGCTGGACCTTAGCCAGACAAGGAGGGTCCAGGTCCACCTTGAGCCACATGGAGCCCTGTGACCCACGGAGGGAGCGGGGAGGCTAGCCCACAGCAGGTGGGGCAGTGGGGACACTCACCAAGGCGTCCTTGGCCCTCTTGAAGGCCTTCATCTCTTGTGGGGACAGAGACTTGAACTGGGCCATGTGGCAGCCCCTTGCACCCGGGAGCGTCCTGAGGGGCTCAGGGACAGGAACGGCTCCTGTCCCGCTCAGCACCGCGGTCAGCAGCAGCAGCACCAGCGTGCAACCCACAGTCAAGTCTGTGTTAGGGAAGGATGGACAGATGAGGGGACAGTTTCAGGGGCTGCGGGTGGAGGCTGTGGGAGGGGGTCGCGGACAATGATGGGGGCTCACCCAGCTTCATCCTGGCCTCTGGTCTCGGGTTTTTCTCAGCAGGTGGGGATCCAAGTGTCCTCTCAGAGGCTGTCACCCAGGTCTCACTCAGCCTTGTTTGGTGTCCAGACCTCAGTCTCTTCTTCTGGGTCTCAGGCCGCTGCTCTGTGTGTGTCTGAACTTGCATCTCTGCTGCGATGTGAATCCTGCCTGAGCTCCCTGGTGCATCTTTTAGCCTGGACACCCGGGCAATCCCAGCTGATGTAGGAAAAGGGAAAACACACCAGCCACTAGGGGAGCCCGGGGCTGGGGAAGCCCGTGGGGGCGGGGCCTGGGGCCAGGTGAGCAGCTGGAGGGAAAGAGAAAGTGACGCAGGCTCAGGTGCACCCACTGCAGTGACGTCCTAAGAGGAGTCTCCGGAGGGGCAGCCTCAGCCCCTGATGGGAGGGGACAGAGGGACCTGTCTTTCTGCAGGATACCCCAGTGCAGGCAGGGGCTTGACTAACGTCTTTAATTGTCTAGACACAGAGGGACCCAGGAATAGGAGGCTCTGCTAGGGAACTGGGACGGGGCCAAGGACTTCAAGGGACCCTGCTCAGTTTGTGACAAACATCTTCATTCATTCACCAAGTATTACTCAGGCCCCACTTTGTGTCAGGCTCTGCTCAAGGTGCCAGGAAAAGAGCCTTGAAAAAAATCCCATAAAACAACACTTGCTGGAGCCTTTTACTAGAGAGGAGAAAGGGAGAGTGGGAGGGAGGGGTCTGCGTGGTGTATGTCACAGCAGGTGACAGAAAAGGAAAGCGCTCAAGTGAGGTGGGAGCAGACTGTAGGAGGGGGGTGCACTGACTGACGGCCTGAAGAACCACATTTGAGCCAAGACTTAAAGGCAGTGAGGGGGAGCTACGTGAAGGTCTGAGCGGGAGCAGTGAACACAGAAGGAAAAGAAAGACCCCCCCTCTTTGGCAAGTGCTGTATGTGTCACCCCATCACCGAGGCTTTGCCACAGTGTGGTATTGAACCTGCAGTAACATCAAAGGCACACTGTACTTTGCCTACATTTAAAATATGGAATAACGTTTGTAGAACCCGCCTGAAGCTTAGTGTTAGGACATGTTTTAAAAATAGAGTCTCTACCGCTGGCCGTTGCTCAGTTGCTTAGAGCATCCTTCCCATATACCGAGGTTTGTGTTTGGTCTGTCAGAGCCCATGCAACAATCAACCAATGAATACACAGCTGGGTGGAGCAACAAGTCTACGTTTCTCTCTCTCTCTCGCTCTATCCCAAAAAATCAATCAATAAATTTTTTTAGAAAGTCAGTTTCTTAAAATAATAAACAATAAATAAATAAATAAATAAATAAAAAATAAATAAGAAATGCAATACAGGGACTCAGAGATCTTAAGAGGCCAGCCCAAGGTCACACAGCAAATAGGTGGTAAGGGCAGGATGTGAACCAAGTTTTTTCTGAAACCCAGACAATAACCACTATACCCACCAGCTTCTGTGTAGCTACATCTCCAGGACACAGAGGTGAATTTCTTGCACAGAAGGTGCCAAGGGCTTTTTCACACTTGACTCTCACCCCAACCCCTTTTCCCATTATTCATAATTCCAGGGAGAGAGTGGACAGAATCTGGAACTGGGAAAATTGAGCTCTGATGCACAAAAATACTCAAAGCCAAGAAAAGGGATGTGCCCAAGTCACCTCCCAGGGCATTGGGCAGTTTCTGTCCATTGCAGGGGCCTTAACCCAGGGGAGGAGGCATTGCACCAATAGCGAATTCGGAAAATGGACATAGGATCTCAAAATTCCTAAACTTCATTCTTGTTTTTCTTAGAGAGGAAGTTCAGTGAGGTGGTTAAGAGCATGGGCTATGGAGCTAAAGGTGTGGGATTCAGACCTGGCTCTGACCCTCACTAGCTGTGTGACCTTGGCAGAGAGCCCTGCAGTTAGCAGCAAAGATCCTCAGCCCACAGACTTGGACAAATAAAAAAGTGCAATTGTTTGTGTATTTATGTGTGTGGTTATTTAATAGAGACCATTAAATAAGACCATCCTATGGCCTCAGCTGGAAGCTTTATACACAGGATTTCAATGGACATTACTCATTTTCAAGGGAAAGATAATTATGCCATTATACAGATGAGGAAACTGAGGCTCAGAGAGAAGTAATTTGCCCAGTCACACCATAATTAAGAGGCAGGGTCTGAATTGAAACTCAAGTCACCTGATTTCTCTGGCTCAACATTTTTAACTCAAAAGTTCCCCTCAGAACGATCACAGGGGGACAATCAATGTAAATGCAAGAACATTTAATAATGGCAATGAATTAACATGGGAAGACAGAATAGCAAATTACACGAGGATGTCGCAAATACAAAAGACACATGGGTAACAGAATCCAAAATACTGCAGTAACCTAAGGACTTTGGGCCTTTTCACTGCCAAATCCCTTAGGGGATGAGGCCTCCCCAGTGGGGAGATCCAAGAGTCACAGATTCATAGAATCTCCAGGCAGACTCTGAAGGTACCAATCAGGGCGTGGGACCTGCCATGGGAGACAGGGTCCTGGGCTTCTGGTAACCAGAGAAGTAGAAACTGGTCCATGGAAGAGGGGTCAGTGACCCAGGTGGACCCAGGACTCAAGTCTCTTCCTGACAGACAAGGCCCCTGGAAGACCTTAGGGCAATGCATTCCCCAGAAATGTCCCTGCTTCCGGGGGACAGGTTGTCATCACTGGAAAGGTATCCCCGCTTCATCTTGTACCCAGTGCAGGCCATTGAGGTCAGGCCAGCAGCGGCAGAGTCTCCTGAGCTCAGTGCCCGCTGGCTGGAGACCTGCCTCGAGGAAAGCGCAACACAGAGCTACCCTGGCTGCCACCTGCCTGCAAAGCCACAGGTCCCCGCAGAGCTGCCTCCAGATCAGAGACAAAGTCTGGAGTGAGCCACCAGCTTCAGGTTCCATGTGAGCAGGTGCAGGAGGTTGAAGATGACTGTGGCTTCATGGCACAGAGGCGAGTCCTGGAAACAGGGAATGAGGCAGAGTGGTGCTGAGGCAGGAATTTCCTCCCAAGAAAACCCCTCACTCAGGCATCAATCAATCCTCAGCCCCCGTAGGGCTCCACCACAGACACCTCCCCCCCCCC